AATGAGGAAGGGGAGAGAAAGGAGAGAGGGGAGAGATAGAGTGAAAATGGTAAGTGGGGGTATTTTGGGTAGTTAGTGTATGAAAAATTGAAATGGGAAGATTATTTCCGGACCAAGAAAAAGGAGAAATGGGAAGATTATTTCCGGACGGAGGGAGTATTTTTTACTACACCTTATTTTTTATTGACATGTGCTACTTTTTAATATCATGTCACAACTTGAAGATTTTATAGCTATGAATGACTGAATGTAGATTCAAATAGAATAGCTCCTCATCGAGATCTTAAAATTCCGAGAAAATGAAATGCTTTCGTAGGTTATTTTTGAATAACGAGTATAATAAAGTTCTTGAAGAATATGCACAAATTTCATTGACCAATAAACCTTTTGAAGATTTAACATCTCTTTCAATGAGATGCATCTCCTAATCCTAGGAACTAGTGGGCTAACTTTGGTGCTGAAGCTCCTTATCTACAATCTTTAGCATTCAAAATGCTTGGGCAGCCATCAGCTTCATCATGTTGTAAACGAAATTGGAGTACATACTTTTTTATTCACTCATTGAGGAGAAATAGGTTAAATCCAAGTCGTGTTGAAGATTTTGTTTTTGTTCATAACAATCTATGTCTTTTATCTAGAAGTTCCGGTCTCCAATGAAAGCATAAACGAGCAAGGGAAGAGCTACTTCAATGATCTATTTAATGAGGGGCATGTGAATCTCTGATCAGATTCGGCTACACACGAGGGAGGGAACCAAAACTTCAATTATTATCAGAGAATTTGAGATATTGATGTTAAGGAGGCCCTAAAACGGATGAAGAATAGCAAAGCAGTGGGCCAGACTACATCCGGATTGATGTTTGAAAAGGTTTAGGAAGAAAAGGCATTTGGTGGCTAACTAAGTTTTTTAACGAGATTCTAAGATCTAAGAAGATGCCTAATGAATGGAGGAAGAGCATTTTTTGTCCCTATTTACAAGAATAAGAGGGATATTCAGAGTTGTGGAAACTACAGAGAGATCAAGCTTATGAGTTAAAACGGTGAAGCATAGTTGTCACAGTGTCGCTTAAGCATCCTAACACTGTGCTCCTCTTGCCTAGTGTATCGCCTCTCCTTGTTTTGAATCTATAGCTTAGGCGTCACCTTGGCCTTGACTAGGCATCCGGGCATTGCCTTTTGAAAATCTTTTATGCCTTTTAGTTAGTGACTATTTTCATGCTCAGTATTTACCTTGCACTAAGAAGTTGCATATTGTTCTTGATCATATTTCATATTACATATTCTTGTTTTTTCATATCATGGTGTCTTTATATTTTTCTTATGTGTATTTGAAATTTTGATTGGGATTAGAGAACGTGTATGTTTATATTTATACTAGTATGACTTAGTAATACTAATGTATACCAATCCTGATTTCTTAAATGTTGCTGCCTGGTTATTGCCTAGGTGGTCGCCTAGTCGTCTAGGCATCATGACAGTTGGCGCCATGACAAGTATGCGATGAAGTTGTCCGAAAGAGTGGTTGAACGGAAGTTGAGACAAGAGACTCCAGTGTTAGAGAACCAATTTGGTTTTATGCCACGAAGATCAAGCACATGTACGATGGTGCTACAACGAGTGTGAGAAGTCAGAGTGGTGACAGGAGAATTTCCCATCGGTGTAGGATTACACCAATGATGAGCGTTAAGCCCATATCTTTTTAAACTAGTATTGGCCATTCTTACCGTGCATATCAAAGAACGTGTACCATGGTGCATGCTTTTTGCTGATGATATCATCCCTATGGGCAAATCAAGAGAGGGTTTGAATGGGAAGTTGGATTCGTAGAGGCGAGCTTTGAAGTTGTCGCACTAAAACAGAGTATATGGAGTGCAAGTTTGGCAATGGAAGTAGAAATAGTAACATTGAGGTGAAAGTCAGAGAAAATACTATACCACAAATAAAGAAATTTAAATATCATGGGTGCATTGTTCAAAACAATGGAGAACTAAAGGATGATGTTAACCACAAGATTCAAACCGGTTGGTCAAAATGGCAGAGTGCTTCGAGCTTTATATGTGACAAAAAATACTTGTAAAACCAAAGGGAAAATTTTACGGTACTGCGATTAGACCAGCTATATTGTATGAAACAGAGTATCGGGAAGCAAAAGGTGAACATGAACACAAAGTTGGTGTGGCAAAATTGAAGATGCTTTGTTGGCTGAGTGTCATACCCGTATGGATAGAATAAGGAAATAAGGAATGAATATATGAGAGCTAAAGTGGGAGTGGCACCTCTTGCAGAAAAGAGAGTGGAAACTTGTCTTTGGTGGTCTGGACATGTGAAGAGAAGACCAAAAGAGTATTCGGTGAGAAGAGTTGATCAAATGGTGAATAGACATGTGGTTTATAGGAAGATGGAGACTAAAGAAGACTTGGCAAGAAGTGGTCAAGGGGACCTTTGCGTGAATTATCTCAGAACAGATATGATACATCATAGGGCGCAATTACATACATACATACATACATACATACATACATACATACATACATACATACATACATACATACATATATATAGAGAGAGAGAGAGTTGAACATGGACTTTTTTGGATTCTTAGATTTATCGTAGTTGTTGATATTGTTCCCTTATTTGTTATGAAATGAACAACTCCATTAATAATTGAATATATTGTAGGAAGTAACTTTCAAATTTTGATTTGAGATAACTAATAACATTTCTACAAAAAATATGATTTTGAATACCTGAAAAATAAAACAATGTAAACAAATAAATTCAAACAAAACTAGTATTTAAAAATAATCAAAACTGCAAACCCTTAAAAAACTACACTAATTGAAGACTAGAGGCAGGCAAAAGGCTAGGATTTTCTTTTAAGACTTAAATGAAATCTCGGCAGGTCAGGTAGGCAACATTAGACTTGGGACTAATCAAAATAGTCAAGAACTGTGTAGATGAAGACGTAGCAGCAAATCGGAGATGATAATAGCGGAGCAGCGAAGTAAAAGCCCTAAAGCAGAAGAGGCAACTGCCTCACGCATGGCTGTCAGTTAAGAAAAGCGCTCACCCGGCGTGGCCTTTTGAAGATCGCCTCGCCCAGTCCTCTTCAGGCAACTTAGGGTCGCCCTAGCGCCTAGGGCACCTTAGGCGAGAGAGGTGCTCGCCTTTAATAACTATGTAGGTACGGCTAACAGTCTTGAGATTGTGGCGCGTACAGTGTTAGTCATTGTTAGAGAAGATGTTTTGACATCGAGAAGTCTTCAGAGCCTCAAGTGAGGACTACAAATGAAAAGGTAGTTTAGGATGTCTAGTGTTTCTGTTTATTATTAACACTAGATCTGATGTATTTTCACTCCATGCTTTTCCTTGGTATAATTAGTTTGTCCTTTGCATCTGTGTGCTTTATGCTATCACCTATCTCTGCTATATATGTCCTCTGTGATCTTGTATTATTTGTATTGCTTGAGTCGGCATCTCTTGGAAACAGCCTCTCTACTACACAATGTTCGAAATTGCGTATTGCGGTTTCAAGGCGTTTTCTTTTCATGGCGTATTGCGTAAGCCTCGATTTTTAAAATGAAAAATATCCACAAAACAATTTAAAACTAAAGATAGAACATAATATATAACATAAATAATCCAAAAACATTAAAAAAGTATATTGTCAAAGTAATACATCGCAAACACAACAAAGTCTAACATAGAATAAGACATAATATTGCTCAAAGTGATGAGCTTAAATTGAAGATTTGAAAAAAAAAAAGTTCATCAATGTCTAACGGCATGAAATTAGGATCAAAAGATTAGCACAACAATTATCAAAAAAAGAATAAAAAAAAAGATTAACAGCTAAAAAAATCATCAATATCCAACTACTTGACAAAAAAACACCAATTATACTGTACTTCATAAAATGATAACAAAAAAAACAACAACAACAACAACAACAACCCAGTTAAATCCCACAAGAGTAGGGTCTGGGGAGGGTGTGTGTACGCAGACCTTGCCCCTACTCGAAAGTAGAGAGGCTGTTTCCAAAGAGACCCCCGGCTCAATGTCAAAAGTTGCATTGCTTGACTAACTGCTACTTCATTAATTAAAGAAGCGCAGACAGTTTAGAGATCCATTTTGATTTATTCCATCACACCCCAAAGCCAAAAAATGGTGAAATTTTGGCTCCATCGGAGATGATGGAAATAAGATAACAAAAAAACTAATTAAATAAATTTATGAAGATAATAAGTTAATAGTAGATTATATATCCTCCAGCTCTAACCCATCATCCATCAATTGCGTAAAATGGCTAATTGCGTGAATCGGGATTCGCACCAGAAGTTTCATTGCGCGCCTTGAGGCGGGTTTGCATTCCGCCCTTTCAAACATTGCTACTACACGGTACACACACCCTCCCTAGATAATTCTCTCATAGGATCCAGCTAGGTTGTTGTATGTGTTATTTGGCTAATCTACAAATGAAATCTATACCTTAATAATAAGGTGGATGATTCAGTCTTTCTTTAAACAAAAAAATGTCTGGAAAGCTATTGAATAATAGGCTGATGTTGATATTTTCATTATCACAGAGGAATCAGAGGAAAGGGAATACCTTCCAAACACTTGTTTCAAGTTTTAACACGTCAAGACAAAAAATGTTGGTAATTTAATGTATTTTCGACTGAAGTTCCTCCTTCAAAACACGGGATAAGTGTAACTCTGTGTATTTCGGAAGAAGCAGGTATGTTGGACTGCAAGCCAGGCTGCTATGTTTGCAGAAGCCAAACCAGAAAATATCGCAATGTTTATTCCATATCTTAGGGGCATTCTAGCATCAAGAGACTACATGACTGCAGAAAACTATGGCAATTTTCACTCTTGTACAGAGCAACAGCAACCATACAAAGTAAAAATGGTCAAATGCAATATACAACCATTCAAAACATTTAGAAATCATCGCAGTGTATAATAAAAACATTAAAAATAAAAAAAAAGGATACAAAAAGAAGCAAGCAAATTTTTTTGGAAAACCTCGTTTAAAGGAAGAAATGAAGAATATCTGACCTTGTTTTAGGAAAACCTCATTTAAAGTCTCAAATTTATTGAAAAATGCTGCAAGAATGTCTTCTCTTTTTAATAAATTTGGGGCAGATGTTGATTTCTGTAGAACGGCATTCAAGCATGTAGTGGGTTTCTCATTATCGACATTTATGCCTATTCCTGTATAAAGGCAGTAAGTAATCAAAAAAAAAGCATGGACTATGCAATCATGTTTTTGAATTTGTCAACTGATACATGTATACACCACCAAACAAATCGAAGAGTCATGCTGTTGGAAAATTAAGCAGTTCATGTGTAAGCAACTGAATTTTCATAAAAGTTCAACAATGCACAAAACCACATTGTAAAACAATTAGATTTCTTTTCAGCATTAGCAATATATTATCTCCTGCAATGTGGAAATTAAGTGTATCCAAGGAAAGAAGTACGGGCATGTTCTCTTTGACTGAACTTATTAGTTCTAATCTGAATTTATTAAGATCTGATATGATCTGAGTCTTTTAAATCTGGTCATTCCAGTTAAAGTTGTTTGTGATCACATTAGATATGAATCTTTCAGATCTGGTTTGAATTTTTCTACGAATAAGTAATACTCATAAATAATAAGAATAAGTTGAAGAGAACGTGCCCTAAAGCAGCTTATCAAACCACCTCACTGAAGCAGCCCGATAAACCGCCTTAATGAAGCAGCTTATCAGTCCACATAGCCCCAAGCACGTAGAGAATAAAAGAAGTGGAGATTGAAGGAAAGGGAAAATGTTATGTTAAGTCATTGATTTAGGGCCCATTCTCTTCAGCCTATTTTTTCTACTTATTACTTACCCTTATTGGAATCATATTAGAAACAATTTTTACTTTAACTAGGATCGGATCATACCTGAAAGATTCATATTAGATCAGAGACATTGAAATCAGATCAGACCTTAATAAATTCAGATAAGAAGCAATAAGTTCAGGTTAAAAGAACATGCCATTAATGAACGTATAAAGAGTCCTTTGTGAGAAACTTGGACGGGTTAAATATGTTTTTTGGTCCCTATAAAATTAGCCGGTTTTACTTTTGCTCTCTCTAATTTTTTAATCAAATCCTCCCTCTAAGAATTTTATTTTTTCAAATAGTCCTTGCCTAGTTTAAAAATTATATTTTATTTCCTTTAAAATTTATAACTTCTGTTTTTAGTCCCTTTAAATTCATTTGGTTTATTTATTCCTATTTTAAATTATTATATACTCCATACACGACTAATTTATTCTTTTTATTCAAAATATACTTAATTACAAGGTCAAAGTGAATGAAATATTTTTAGAAGTTTAATCAAATAGCTACATTATTACAAATTCATTAATAACTTTTCTAAATTAATAGTTTTTAATAAAAATCATTGGCTATCAAAATGAAAATTGTAACCTAAGGAGTTTGGTAGGGATACCTTGCTCTAAAATGAGTAGCAATATAACCAAATTTTCTCACCATGGTGAGTCTTAGATATGTGTTTTAAAGACATCAAATTGCTAGATAGTAAAGATTTTTACTAAAGAGTACTACCTCCGTCCCACAAGACATTTCTAATTTGAAAAAGGGGGGAGCTTTAAAAATGTGAAATTTCGGTGTGATTTTCTAATTTCTAATTTTCTATCATAGACATCATATCCTACCCTATTATTAAGCAAGAAAAGAATTTGAAAACAATACAAAAAATACACATTTTTAAAGCTCGTCTTTTTTTAAACTAGAAATGTTTTGTGGGGCGGAGCCGTGGAGGGAGTATTAATTTAGGTAAATATTTTTATTAAAAAGTACTCTGTATTAATTTATCAAATTTTGAAATGAATTTGTAATAATAATGTAGTTATTTGATTAAGCTTTTAAAAATATTTTAATAACTTTGACCTTGTAATTTAGTATATTTTGAATAAAGAGAATAAATTAATCTTGTGCAGAGTTGATATATATCCGGGAGCATGCCCGAAGACTCTCCGTAGCCCGCCAAGGGAAAGACAGATCAGGGGAATAAAGCCCAAGTGTGGTGACATTAATTGGGTTGAAACTTCTCCATTTTCCTGTCTTAGAACCCAACCCAACACCATGGTTGTCCTACACCCACCCTAGGCTGAGCCCACACTCTCCATACCTTCCCTAAACATCCAAAATATTTCCTTTTCAAAATAAAGTTTTCCTACTCCTATTTTAGGCCCTGGCCGAAAATAAGAGTGTGTAAACCACAACCTTTGTTTGTTGTTATTTTCTTTCTTTTAAACCTTTTAATAAACAAATAAAACCTTCTATCCTTTTCTATAAATCCCAGGCCAAATATCCCTCATTATCCCAACACAACATCAACCAAGATATTCCCCATTCTTGTCCCCTTTATGTTCCCTACTAGGGCTGAATAAACAACCACAAAAAGCCAAGGGACATTTGAGTTGTTGTTGATACACCACCTACTAAATCAGTCACCTCATATGACCAAGAATATAAGGCCAATACACCATCCATCACCCATCTTTGTTTGTCCCCTCTTTTTAGCCAGAATATCCACCACAATCATCAAAGGATTTCATTCATTCTTTGTGATTTTTGCCTCCACAACAGGACAGACAAAGCCAGCTCCAAAGCCAAGACAAAGTCAAACAAAATCAGCCCTTATCAACTCAAGATTGGAAGCTAGTGAATGATAAAGGGATGTAGGAAGGTTCCTTGTATTTGCATTCATTATATTGTGTGTTTTCCCTCCTCTCCCCTCCTTATATATTTCGGCCATTTGGCCCTTGTAATGATCATCTTTGAATATTAAAACTCCTTTTACTCTTTGAGTATTTATAAAATAGTGTGATGCTATTTTAGCCAAATTCCTAATTCTATATCTTAAGAGTGGTTATCTTAAGTGTGAGTTTTAGGTTCTAGATATTTGATTAAGTGTGTCATATCTTAATTAAATTCTAGAATTCAACCCCAAGTTATTCTAGAGGTGAGCTTATCCTTTAGTATTAATTTGGCTCCAAATTAAGATAAGAGTGTGTTTATCTCTTATTCCTTATTTGGAATTTATCCCATCCTTTCTAAACCCATCCTTCATCCCTGATTTTCCACTCTTCTTCATAATATCAAAATCCAAAAAGAACTCCTTCGCATTCCCATATTTTCATCCAGCCCATTTCCCCTTCATTATTCCACAATTCCATCTCCAAAAATAACAACTTGATAAGACCCCCGGTTCACCCCTAACAAGAGTATTTAATAAGTTAAAACAGGAATAAATAAACCAAATAAATTCTACAGGGACTAAAAACAAAATTTATATATTTAGAAGGGGTCACAACACAACATATACGAAGTATTTAAATTAGGGGAGGACTATTTGAAAATATATAATAATTTTAAAAAGATAACTTTATTAAAAAAATTAGAGGGACCAAAAGCAAAGCTCACTAAATTTACAGAGGCCAAAAACATATTTAACCCAACTTTGATTGTTCACCTGAAGCAGCATGTAAAAACCACATTGGCCCAAAAGGGAAAGTCTATAGAGAATATAAAAAGGGGTGATCAAAGATAAAGAAAAATACTATGGTCAGTTCATGGATTGAATGAACTAATATATAAAGTCTTCAGCTAGAAACACTTAGATTGTTTACCAGCACTAACATTAAACGTCTGGGACTTGTATGTAGAAGTGCACAAAATGCCACCAATCTTAAGGCCATCTAAATAAAGATCATTTGGCCACTTTATTCTTACAACAAGACGTGAGGTGCCCTGAAATGAATTCATTTCCAAAACAGTTATATTAAAGCAAAACCCAACAGATGCAAAAGCAGATATTTGGGAGAGCTAAACCATCAAATTAGAATGCAATTAAATATCACTCAGTCAAAATACTACAAAAATAGACTTTAATGAGTAAAGATCAGTTTCAAAGAAACTTTTCCATCACTGCTTCACATTTCATTCATATAAGAAATTATTGATGAAGCTTATAGAAATCAGTTTACAAGTAATCACGCCTAAATTATGTGATATTTTCTACTTGTAAACAGTAAATCTATGTACACACTCATTTAGCCATCACCAGTTCCGAATAATACTACTCCCTTTGTCCTCTTTGGTTCTTCTAACTCTGACTTGGCACAATTTTTAATGTAAGGTGAAAATGTAGTTGACTTTCCAATTTTACCCTCCCTACCCTTCTTCCATAACACACCTTGCCTCTTCCCCACCGGACAAAGAAGCCTGAAGCTAAACGGCTGAAACCTTATATGCGCTGACTGATAAACCAAGATCATCCCATCCATTTCCGTATTTGGGGCTGGAGGTGAGACCAAAACTAGATCCATATAACATGCAGAGAGCCTGGACTCTAAATCCTTTTGTAATCCCCAAATTAGGTGAATAATATGTTGTTTGAATGGAACCTCAACAATCCATGGTTCATGGTTGAAGAAAAACAAAAACTTCATTTTAGCAAAGGAAAGCCACACCCCAAGCTTAGCCCTGCTCTAGAGAGGAAAATCAAGAATTGCCACCAGAGTTTTGAAATAGAAAAGCCCTAATAATAGAATGAGTGCACAGAACTTGATGCTGATACAGATCTGTAGCCTTCCCTGCACAGTGGGGGGTGGGGTGGGTTGACAAAGAAGAACAAAGAAATTGGGGGAGATTGAGGAGAAAGAAAAAAATGTGGGGTGAGTTGAAGAAGAAGAAATTGTGGGTGGGAGAGGAAGTTGAAGGAGAAACTGGAGGCGGGGGGATTGACAAAGAAGAAAGAAGAACAAGGGAGTGATTTGAAGAACTTAAATTTCAAAGGGCAAAGTAGACATTTAGTTCTCATTTAGTTGCCATATTAGGAAAGTGAGAAGAAACAAAAAGGACAACCCAAAAAGAAAAGTAGGAAGAACTAAAGAGGATGAAGGGAGTACATATTAACTTTGAGCTGCAGAAGTGTAAAATATTAGTATATCTCCTCTTCAGATTAGAAAGAATGCATGCTTACGCACCATGACCTTTATGTTTCATGTTCAACCGATAAGAAACATTCATATGTCTTTCTCCAAGCCATTGTTAATTAGTTGTCATGGCGCATGGAGACAATCATGGCAATGACTGATGAGCCAGTTTCCAATGGCGATGGCACAAATATGGCATCGCCGCAGGATACAAGTCATGCAACCAATTAACTAAATGCACAAGTGTACAAGACATAAATCCAATAAAAAATAATAGAGTACTTTATCTAAATATTCATGTTGGAAGTAAAAACACAACCAAAAATTAATTCCAGAACACCCAAAGGTGCTAGTATTTAAACAACTTAAGCAAAACTCAAAAGTTAATTTAAACTAAAGTTGATAAAAAGTTCAATCTAGCAACTTAAGCCACACTCAAAAAGTTAATTCAAACTAAAGTAAATAAAAAGTTCAATTTAGTAACGTAAGTAAAACTCAAAAACTTAAATCAAAATAAAGTTGATAAAAAGGACATTGGAGGTTGCGGACTTAGAGATAGCCATGTAGGAGAGTGGCAGTGTTACCATGTCAGAGTCGCGCAACAAACAGCAATCATCCATTCTCAAGCCGAGATTAGCAAATAAGAAGAAAAGTCGTGATGGCTGGTATTTGGATTTCTGGAGTCTAGAGTAAAAGGTTGGGGAGAACAAGGCCTGAGAGTGGTTCATTTAAGTTGTTTAAGTGAGAGTAACAAGTTTTAGATATTTAATTAGGTGTGATTCTTATTTAAATACTAGAGTTAGTCCTAATTGAGATTTGAGCATGTAATATATCATCTCGAGCTTAGATTATACCTTATCAAGAAAACCCCCCAAAGCTAACCTCTTTTTCTAAATTTCTCGAGTCTTATCACCCATTACCCTCACATATAACACTTACACTTGTGGCATGTTTCGTAAGCTATGGAATATTAAATTCTGTTGAATAGTAATAATGAGTGTTGACTTAATGTTTAGTCTTTACTAATAATGTTGCCTCCATAAAAAGTGAAAATATGAATTAAATCAGTTTCTCTTGTTTGATTTTCTGTCATTCAACAAATTATATGGAAATTCATTTGATTTGTCCAACAGATGTCATGGAAATTAAAAACGGAGAATTGGTCTCTCTCTGTAAGATATGTAAACTTCGTCTAAAAAATGATTACGAAAAAAATCTATTTCAAGGGAAAGTGGTCTTATTATCCTAGAAATTGCTTAGTTAGATTTGAATTATAGAAAAAGTTGTATTCTTCTCTGTGTCCCACTATTTCTAGTATTCTTGTTTGTTCCACTATTTTTGTCTCATTCAATATTTTGAAACATTTTTGTTGCTCAAATTGATTCTTACTTTTTCACTTTCAAACCAACCACAAAATTCTACTTCTCTTAGTTTGTGTGTCATGTCTTCATGTCGCATAAATAATGGAACAGAAAAAATGTATTCTTGGGAGGGTAATTTCTCCCTGAAGCAACAAATGTCATCTATCCTATTTATAGGTACTTTCAATTGCATCTTTATTTAGATCTTATGCTTTTAAATAGGTTCAAAACTCTATGCTTGCAATTCCAATATGCATCACAACAATACGAAAAAAATATTTGTATGGACTTACATATTGCTTCCAGAGATCATTAATGGCATCTGCCATAGCAAGACTGACTACATACTGCACATGTGGCACCATTCGTCCATCTACCATTTGTAAGGTGAACGAAAAAAGAAGGGAACCCTTTGGGGATTCCCACACATTCATTGAACGCCCTTGGCCCCGAAAGTAAAAACATAGATAAGTTGTCTGATAAAAGGCATTATTAACTTAAAAAAACAATTTCAATGATACCTCGCCCCTTGGATTGCACATCAGCAACACACACTGCACCGAGTGGCAGCTCACAGAAATTGCTGGAAAAAAAACAAATAATGATGATGGTAAGGTGGTGGTAAGTTACTGGGTCTTTCAATATGATACAATAAGCTTTATAAATGCTATCAATTAGATGCTTTAAATTGGACGGCACACAAATTTTCAATGCAATATTGAGGGAAACCAAGAATGATTAATACCCTAATAACTAGGTGAATTCATGCATACCTTGAAATGAAATCATGTGTGGATGACAGTCTGGGAGAGTAAATGACGAATCTCCCGAGTCCAGTTGCTGTGGAGAGAGAGTTAAAGTAATGGTCAAGACAATGCCTCATTTTGGGATCCATTGTCTACCTCCGAACGCAGAACAACTTTGAGATCACCGTCTCCCGGGAGCTTCAAAGATTTTTTCTTCTTCAGTGATTTGGCCAGTTCATTCTCCGCATCAGATTTCCCACACAAGACCATTATTGAAGGCACTAATGATCCCATCTCCATCTCTAACCAATTCCTCAAAAACTTAGATGTTACAATCAAAGTAAAACCATAAATCAATAAGACTCTTCATAATATGAACAAACATCAAGGGGCCACGCACAAATGGAGAATAATAACGGAGAATGGTTAGAGATGCTGGTAATGCAAATGGAGAATAATAACGGAGCTTGGGAAGATACCGAATAGAAAGCAAGGGGCCACGCACAAATATCATCAAACTTCTTGTTAACTCTGATTCGGTTTTGTTAATGGAAAACCAATGAAAAACTTACAGTGACCTGAAAAAGGGTATCCAGCCTTAGAGAAATAAGAAGGCAAATTGGGGAAGCGTACCGGCCAGTTCTATAACGTCTTCTTCCTGTAAATGTCTATTTTTGTTTGGCTTCTTTTCTAGAAAATAAGTATTTTGAAATTTGATTTTTGATTAAATAATACGAAGTCTACGTACATGGGGAAGCACATAACCCAATCATCAATCAATATTCAAGAAAAATCGAGAAAATTGAGTAATTAAACTGAAGAAAAATTGGGAGAAGATATATTCATATTGTATCAATTTGCTCCACCCATCGTAGGCAGAATAAGAAGAGAGGATGATACTCTTAATGGATATTCTTGATGGAATACCAGAGAGGAGATGTGTTATGTGAAGAAGAAGAAGAAGAAAAAGAAATAAGAGTTCAAGGGCATAGTCGATGATTCAGCCACTCATGGCACAACTTGCAAGCCAAGAGAAGACATGAAATGCCTTCTTCAAAAATAAAAAATGGAATTGATGTAGGAACAAGGAATTATAAAATGGGTCATGATAGTCATACATGCTAAAACACTAAGTTCACTCCGTTAGCTAAATTCACCCAGTTCTTTTAAAATTTGTTATACACTCACACCGAGTTTGGATATTGAATACTCATAGTGCTTTAGTACTAATTTAAACTAAGTTCACCCCACTCGTGCATTTATACCTTTTTTACTCCTACTTTAAACATTCTCAATTAATAGTACCAATACACGGCATTATATATGAAATCATGTGCAATCAATAATTAAACCAAACCTTAGCACGTACAATTAAATACTACTCCAGATAATTTATTTTGAAAGATACAACGAAATATGTCTCATATTATAAACAATGCAACATTAAAATATATTAACCCGGTATGAACTAAATCACGAAAACCAAAAAAACCAGAGTATAAACTAAATCAAGAATGAAAACCTTTTTAAAAACGGGAAAAAAAGAGACTTGCAAGACTTTAATGAATAAAATTGCAAGAAATACTTGCTTTTAGTGGGGGGAAACGGAATAACATAACGGGCAAAAAAACTGACAAAATTGGCAAGCTAAATCAGAGTAGATCATCAAAAAAAATCAAGGGTAGGGTTTAGTGAATCGGCAAAACTCCATGAAGAACAAACCTTGATCGAATTAGTCTCGCTAGCTGACTTTTCTTGAGCATCCAAGAAGTGATTCCGCAACAAGGAGGTGACAGGGCGGCATGGTGGAATAACCTCCTCTAATACTCCTAGGTTTGTTAAGCGATTGGAAAGAACTATTGAAATATTTGAACTTAGTATTTACACTAGTTTTTTAGTATTTGTCCATTTTTAATTTTTTTAGTCAAAACTGATAAATTTTGACTTTAAATTAAATAAAAATGATATTAGATATTGATACAAAATTATTTTTTTATATTAATTATATGAAATATTTTCAAAATATTATTTTATCAAATTAAAGTACAATAAATATTTTATTTAATTATAAGTCAAAGGTTGAAAAAGGTTAACCGAAAAAAGGCATAACTGCACAAATAATCAGAGACGGAGGTAGTATTATTTACTTTTTTCAAATACGAATATGAAGAATGCTTCTTTGGTGCACGATGCATATCATTTTTGTGGATTTTCTCACATACAAAAATCTTTTTTACTCCGTATTATTTTTATTTAAAAAAATAAATACTTATTCAAGTAGTAATGAAATGCTTATTTTGCTCATATGTAGGCTCATGGTTCACCATAGGTCCACCATAGAATTTTCCAAATCTGAAACCGAATATTAAATGAATTAAAAATGAAATTTCTATTTGTATTTGATTAATATTTGAATAGTTAACAAATCCTAAATGAATACTAGAACAATCATACTCCATAATTTATATGATGAACCAACATCAATTTTGAATAATTTAACTTGCAATATTTCTTATATTATATCTAAAAATATTACTCTGTAATATATTTGCGCTTTATACAAATTATATTTTATAAAATATAATTATTAAAAATCATTTGCTTTTGATTTTTTGTTACGTTAATTTAACGAAATCTTATTAATTTAAATGCACCTTATATTATATTAGTTTGCTTGATTATTTATGTTGAAAACATGGTATGTGTGTGTATATATATCTTTCTATATATTATAAATGGCTAGAATGGTTAGGTATTCCTTAATTTTATGTACTTTTTCCGTTAGACAAAATAGTACCTCAAGCTATACTTGTTGTACAGTGCTTGTTTAGTCCCAAAGTGCCCATATGTCATTATCTTCATATACACTATGGTTCTCATATAAGCATTTGATTGTACTAAACGCAACTGCTCCAAGACCTTTATTGCGGATGAATCATGCTACACTTACACCAAAAATTGTACCTCATTTCTACCCCGCAGTTATACACAAACATTTTGATGGTTTACACCGACATAAGTGTTGGTGCGTTAACAAAAATTTACACGGACACAAAGTGTTGGTGCATTAATAAAAATTAGTTTTACACCAACACAAAATGTTGATGCAAATCTGCAGGGTACAAAGTGGGGTACAAAAACTTGGGGTACAAGTAGCTTTATTTATCCATTGCGGATTGTCCAACAAGATAAGAAGCAGAGCAGCGCTTCTTTGCCTTCTGTTTTGGGAATCTTTACCTTAAAGCGTTTGTCGCATATCCAAAGCCGATTTTACCTGAGGCCTTTTCATTTTATAGCCATCCGTCTGGCAACCCGCCCATCCAGCTCCGACTCCAAGTCTCCAACTCTATCTGGCGAGTTTAATTTGGTTAATTCTTCAATTTCATCCATCATTTATCCGCCCGACGTCCGTCGCTCCCACCCTAACTCCATCTGCTTATCCGTTTGTCCAATTTCAACTCTGAAGTCTGACTCCATCGTTTCCTCCTTAACGTACTCTAGCAAATAATGATTAGAAATTCTACACTTTTGCAGCCACTGCATTTTTAACGATTAACAATTCTGAAATTAGCACATGTTTAGGCTGTGGCTCTGTTCCAATGTTAGCTACTTCGTTCATTGAATTAAAAGTGTTTGAATTTATTAGTAGATTAGCAGCAAGCGAGTAAACATCCAAGTCTATATCAAAATGTTGTGTTTTGTGATACAGCACAAGGGAGAGCCACACCCTAAAAGCTAGCTGTTAAGGTGGGAGAACCCTTGGCTATATAAACCCATCACCAAGTTCCCCATTTAACCGGTGTGGGACAACGAAATCAGTCCGTATCATTTGACCCCCCATAAGGCCCAACGTCCTCGTTGGTCACGGCTACGTTGGTCACGGCCACGTTGGTCACGGCTGGTTTCACCGGGCCACCACTCTGTAGGCCACCACTCCGAGTTGGCTCTGATACCATTGATACAGCACAAGGGAGAGCCACACCCTAAAAGCTAGCTTTTAGGGTGTGGCTCTCCCTTGTGCTGTATCATTTTGTTATACAATTTTTTAGATAAATTCTCTTATTCTATGTTTAGGAACATGGATTTGGATTTCAAATCTGGATCTGACTCAAATTCCATGTTTGGGAAACTTAAAATGTTTGAATTTGGATTTGAGTTAAATTCTTCTCATTCATAACAAAGCTTAATTTGAAATCCATTCACCTCTCCTTGTCATTTGAAAATCAAGATTTCAAATTGTGGAATTGAAATGCATGAATTGAAATAAAATGCTAGTTGCCAAACACTACCTTAATTAATACAAATTTGAGTTGAACATTTGAGTTAGATTTAAAACAATATTTGGTCTTTCTAATTGGCCGGCTCGGACGCACTCAGTCACCTCTTCTTCGTCCAAAATAAAAAATGGAAAAACGTTAAATCCAAGCAGGTAGTCGCTCAGTTAAGCAAGCCGCAAGCAGTGAAGTAGATGACTGGTGAGTCAGTGACACACTAACACACTAACGCGCGTGACAGCCATTGATAGAGCTTGAAGCTTCATTGAGAAGGAGAAAATGAACGAGGTGAATACAATGTGTGGGGAATGTAAAAGGTGGCCTCCCTGTTCTTCCTAGATCTGTGCCTCTTATATAGCGTCAAGGTAGGAGCCTAGGGTTCGCTATCAGGCTCCTCGCATGGACCGACCCAGTATTTTTAATTAGGCCTAAGGGATATTATCCAATCAGATACCTTGCTTAGTCAAAGATTGTTAACCTCTCGAAGATCGGACGAGTTTTATGACATCGATAGTTTGAAAATACGTGTCCGGAGCATAATGAAATTGTACAAGGAGAATTCCATTTGGAGAAATTTGGCCAAAAAGTGTACCCCGATTGAGATCAAAATTAGCCCAGTCAAGGAGAATCATTTGTATATCTCCAATATCATCGTCCGCTCCACTACTTGATTTACGATCGCCTTAATGATGCATAAACCACAAGAAAATGTTTACTTCATCTCATCATTCAAACTATATAAGGAGTACCCGCAACTCCTCATTTCTTCACTATTCTTCACAATTCTTCTTTCTATTCTGTTGTTCTGAGTGAGGAGAACACAGTAGTGCTGTCAATTTGGTGGGAGGTCGCCAGAGTTGGGAGTAATCGTCGCTGCAAGTTTCGTCATTCAATTACCGAAATCATTGGTAAGCTCCGAGGTAAGCCCTTAGATATATCTAGTGATTATAATGTTTGTAAAGATCGTTCATAAACGGTCATTTGGTTGAGTTTTGTGTTTGACATGTTTGAAGAACCAAGAATTGTGAACTTTAAAATTGTTGTTAAAACTTTAAATTAATGATACCAAAATGATCCAGGAATCTTAGAGAACATTTCTATATAATTTAATTGAAGTTTGGTGATTAAAAATAGTATTTCCGAAAATTGGCCCAAGGTTGAAGATGACGCTATTTAAAATTAACACACAGAGCGGTATCACGCTACCGCCCGAACGGTATCTAGGTACCGTTGGCATGGTAGCCACCAACCGTGGCAACGGTAATCTTCTATCGCTGACTGCCTCCTTGACGGTGGTTGGCTGGTGGCGGTCGGTACTAACTAAGGTACCGTGACACGGTACCGAGGTATCGTACCGGGTACCGTGACACGGTACCGAGGTATCGTACCGGGTACCGTCCAGAACCTGATATTTTCTCCGAAATCCAGTTTTTGAACTATTAATTCCTATTTTTGATACCAATCAATTTTTATCCATATAAATATGATTTCTGGAATATGATGTTTTGATCAATCTAAGAACCTTACGTGATGCATGACGGTAAGTTATGGTGTTAACACTCGACGCTATGCCGCTATTTGTTAATGAATATTATGATGACAATTATTGAATATCAATTATGATCAAACATTGATGGATATTCTGATCGAATGATTATTATAATGGATAAACCATAATGAAACATCGTTGATGACAATTTCTTTTAAATAGTGATTATGATGATTAAATGGATGACACACGTGATTATGATTAAATAATGATAAAAATCTAATTCTGACAAAATATGGTATTGAATAAATAAACCATAAGAATAAAATCGTGAATGATTATATTCGTTTGATTATTCTGATCTAAATAATGATTATGAATAAATAAACCATAAGAATAAAATCGTGAATGATTATATTCGTTTGATTATTCTGATCTAAATAATGATTATGAATTAATAAACCATGATTCAAAGTGTATAGATTGATGAGTAAGAAAATGACTTATATTGTTAAGGCTATCTAGAAGACCTCTAAGTAAGGATGGGCTGGGAAAACCGAAATCGATGTAAACGAGCTAGAAAAAAACCGAAACGAAAAAACCGAAACTCAATGTAAAAAAATCAAACTGAACCATCATTGTTTGGTTCCGGGCGTTTTGGTTTTTACTTTGAAAAACCGAACCAAACCGAATAAATTGAACATATTTATATGCTTCATTTTATTTATATGAATATATGTGATATGTATAAAAATCATATAAACAAAAATGCAAATAAATTACTAGTCGATTAAAGTTTTTTTTCTTAACTATTAATTAAACATTTTAACCATATTATAAACTTTAAAAAATCTAAGAATTAAACATCATCAATAATTAATCCTAATACAAAATTATATAACATTAAAAAATAATATGAGTAATTAACATATTTACATAAAAAAACTTTAATGTTATAATGAAAATGAAAGTATTATATCAAAAAAACACAAGTTCTCTGTAATTGATTTTACATACGATATCTTTAGAAGTATTTGGAATCTCATAGATGTTTGTAAGGCACTTGACACATATTT